CCCAAATTAGAAACCAAATTATCAAACAACAACAAGAAAAGAACATGAAATATTGTAAACAAAAGAGTAAAAAAAAGCCATTTAACCCTGAATAGAGACTAAAAAAAACCAACAACAACAACCCACACTAAGAAAAGTCCTGACTCTGTCAGCACAGTCTGACTGTAAAAAAAGATCTGGCTTGTGGCTCGCAAAGGATGACAGACTCTCAGTGTGACAGTTTACAGGTAGACACAGAGCTCCACTTCCTCACATCACGCCCAGGTACCAGGCTGTGAGAGAGGAATACCAAACCCCCTAATACCACACGAGAATGTGATGTTTGGTAATATGTTGTTTTATGTGATATACTGTTTGTACGGTTGTATTGTTCTTAATTGTTGTTTTGTTTGTATTGTACCGTTTTTTTTGTAGGATCTTCCAGCCCAGGGACCAGAGACGTAAATAAGCTTTATAGCTAACTGTGGCCCAACAGTTGAGACATCATGGCCCCTGTCACATAAACCAATAAGCTAAATGTACATCCTGACTTCGACACAGACACACCAAAAACTCCTTTATCTACTGGTAGGAAAACAAAATTGTGAGATTATAGGTGCAAAATGTATCACAGCCTGTCAGGACCTGAGGACGACCAGCGAGACCTGAACACACACAACCACAGACACACACACATACTGTATACAAAGCTACACATATAAAAAGCTACACTACACACAAACTAGCACAATAACAATTTAAACACACACACAAGAGCCTTTCATAAACACAATTAGAACAATTTGTGTTATTTTGTAGATGTTTATCTGATTATTACTCTCGCTATAATGTCATTATTAATGATTATTACTATCAATAACGTTTATTTTTCAACACCGCTCCCCCATTCTATTTACAGTTTAATTTATAATTTTATAATAATAAATAATAATAATACATTTAATTTTATTATTATTATTATATTATATTTATTTACTTATTACTATTATTTTCTAAATCTTATTTTAATTATCTTTTTTCACTTTATTTTAATTATCTTTTTTCTCTTTATTTTAATTATCTTTTTTCTCTTCATACCTTTCCTTTTTGGATTTTTATTTATTTTTATTTCATGTTGTTTGTATTCTTGTATGTTTAAAAAAAATTATATATAAAAATGTGCCAGGATGAACAAAAATATGTGATGAAATATGCCAACTTGTAATGTAGTAAAACAGCCTGCAATAATTAAAAAAATAATAAAAAACGTTTATTACTGTATTCTTTGTTATTATATATTTTGTTAACATTGTCACATTCATGTCAATAAAGATTACAGAGTTGAAAAGTATTTCCTTGTATATCAGCTATGTTAGCCATCTCTCATGTTTCATCATCACAAAAACAAGACTGTGAAGTAAAACATGAATAAAGAAAGAACTACAGATTACACTAGTTCACAAACATGTGTTATTAAGCAGACTATTTGTAGCATTAAGTAAAGCTGTCATTATTAAACCCGTTGCTAATGGCAACTATAAAACGACCCGTTAATAACGTTACCGTGTTGACTGGGACAGACGCAAATTTGACGATATATTTCTTTATAATTATTTGCCACGTCAACTACTTGGCATTGTGTCACTGTTAAGACGTCAAACTGTATATATTTGACTTTAAAGACCGATAAAAACACAAAGTTTTCCGTCAAAACAATCCTAGCTAACAGTTAACGTCTCTAACGTCTCCCCTCGTCATCCTCCACAAACGTTGCCAGCTGAACAAACAGGTCAGTTGTTGGATACTTACTTCAAAAACTGGATGCCAACATTGCATATAAACTCAACTACGCTCTCTCTCCGTGGTGTTTTTTTTTTTTTAATCCCAAATACAGTCCTCCGATCCGCAGAGAAAGTGCTCCGTTCAGTCCGTTCACAAACACTGGGGGACCAAATATCCCATATTATCGTCTCTGTGGCAACTACACGGCTAACCGCTGCTTCTTGACGTCTGTGATTGGTGGAAAAAGGAAGCGTGTGCATTTGTTCGTGCATCTGATTGGCTGGGTCGAATTGCCAGTCTGATGGTGCATTCAGGTGGTGTAAAATGGGTGGGGGCAAAATAATTTTTCTTAATGTTAAGATTTTTTTTTTTAATTAATTCACGTATTGCTCATCAACTTTTTGCTCGAATATAACTTTTAACAGTAACATTTCACAGATTTTCTTCGTAGCATCAACGCGGTTTTGTGCAGTTGTTACAACATTCAGACTTTCCGAACTGAAATCACGTGAACACACTGAAGTGGGAAGAACGACATCCATCTCGGAACTCGGACCGCCCGAGCAGCACGTGAATGCAGCATGACTTCCAGGGGGGACGACTCAGGAAACGGGTTGGTTGAGTTAACAAAAGGGGTGTGACTGCAAAATAACATTTTTCCACAAGTTATCGTTCAGGGAGCTATTAAAACAGAAAACAAAGTTCCAGTCCACCAGTAGTATTTATTGATGCTTCACTCAAACGTAATCAAACAATAAAAACATTATTATGTATTACATTAAAACGGATTCAACCACCTGGCATCTCAACATTTCAGCATTTAAAAAAGCTTTATGAAAAATAAAACAAATCACATTTAACCAGAACAAGTGCTCTCATATGGAATGCATTAATCACTGACAATTAAAAAAAATCCAGGAATCATTTGAATAATAAAAAAAAAAGAGAAAATCACATAATAGAAAAAGATGAGCAACAAACAGCATTCAATTAGTCAGTATGATTTATCGCCTTTTAAACTCTACAGCTGCCCTCCACACATCAGCCCCCTGCCCAAGAGTGATTTCCTCTGGCAAAGACTCGAGCCCCAGCAGGGTTGGAAGGTCTTTCTGCTCCAGGTGGACCTCTAAGGTGGACTTGATGCTGTAGACAGAAGGGAGGGAGGGCATGAAGCAACCAACAGTTAGCAGTGCATCCATTGTTTTCACCACAAGCATTTTCTATTCACTTCTCTGCCCAGCTGCTGCCTCAATAGAAACGACCTGTGGCTGAGGGGATACAACTTTTCCCCTGACAGATGGCTGCCTGGAGGGGTCACGCTCTGGTCCCGGAAAGTCAAAAGGCTCACAATCTCAGGGGAGAAGCCCGGGGTGAGACCTCCACACTTAGCTCTGATTAAAGCTGTCAATGATCAATGGATTCCTTCAGACTAGGGTGGTGATCTTTGAACTGACAATAGGCACACTTTTAAACATTCATGACTTTCAAGAAAACCCTTATTTTGAAAAAAAAAAAACACCTCCGGGGTAATAAATCAATAATGCAGATGTTTTAGGATTGTTTTGCCATTTGGGGCAATACCTCCAACAAATGCTCCCAAATGGTTAAATTTGTTGTGTTTAAACTACAAAAGGGGAAAATGCAAATGGCTTGAGCTTACTCCCAGTGTGCTTGGTAACCCTCGTCCGGCACAGCATCGCTCGTCTTCAGCAGCAGAATTTCATGCAGCTCCAGAGCGAACACGTCGACATCTGTGACAGCGAGGAAAACCTTCAGCCCTTTCCTCTCCTCCTCAGAGAGCTCCTGCTGGAACTCTGAGGGCAGCTTCTGAAAGGGGTCCTTTGACAAAAACAAGAAATGCGTGATAACAACAACAACAACAACAACAACAACAACACAGTGTTTAAAGGCAACAGAGTGCAGTTCCTCAAATTCTGGGTTTATTGGGGTCAAATTCTGGGAGCCTGCCGTGTCAGACGGCACGCTCTCAACAGATTACAGACAGGAACATTTCCCTCTGTGTGGTTTGAGGGTCAACAGGGGTCACAAGTGAAAATAATAACCCGAAACTATGTGGTCACCGCGAGTGGGAGTTTCTTTTATGGCTTTAAAGTCTTAAAAAGGGGGGCTTGGATTAGGCACGGCTCCAACAGTCGTGATAAAAGAATGGTGTTATAAACTGTATTGTTCCAGGCTCCGTTCTCTAAAACCTTGAATTCCACAATTTTTAATAACTCACTTGCTTCCTGTTCAGCATGAGCTCCGACTTCCAACAGGTTAGAAGTTGCCAGGTGAATATGCTGTGCTCCAGTCTGCTCTCTCCAAGACCCTTAAAAAGAGAATTAAACAGAAAGCTGTGATATTAGAAAGACCACACAGGCGTTCATCTTTTTAGCGTCTTGATGGCAGTGCATGTGTACATTGCAATCTGCAAGTGATAACATTGTAAAGATGGGGCGGCAGTAGCTCAGTCTGTAGGGACTTGAGTTGGGAATGGGAGGGTCGCCGGTTCAAGTCCCGGCCCCAGACCAAGTCCGGAAATTGGTCTGGTAGCTGGAGAGGTGCCAGTCCACTTCCTGAGCACTGCAAAGGCACCAAACCCCAAAAACTGCTCTGGAGCACTCGCCCCCCCTCACTCTGAGACCTCTCCATTAGTGCAACCCCTGTTTGTGCATGTGTGTGTATTTCAGCGTGTGTGTGTGTGTAGCATGTTCATTAGACAGATTTCCCCTCGCGGGATTAATAAAGGATCAATTATTAAGATGTCATTTTTGGGGCTTTTATTGGATTGGACATTGACATGCAGCAGAGGGCCGAGGTCGGAGTCGAACCCACAGCAACTACAGCCTCTGTACACAGGCGTGCAACTTAAGCGCTAGGCTATCTGACGCAGCCATTGGTTCACTTTCATTTCTATTAAAAGGGTGAAACTTGCCTCACTTGTGATCAGGCACGGTCACGAAGCACTGTCAGTGTCGCAAACATTCAACGATAATGCAAGTTAAGAGGAGTTTGAGTTAAATACCGCTAACATCATCGGTTTGCTCTGCAGCTGTTAGTGGAGCATTTAACCCTTTGTGTGAGCTTTGTGAATTCCAAAGGGACATGTTGACTCATTTGGACAGGTTTAGTTTTTTATTTATTTTTCTATTTTATAATAATCAAAGAAGGTAAAAAAAAAAGTTATGATTTTTTTATAATGATAATGATAGCTCATGAAACCTTCTGTTTGGGAGCAGGTTGTTTGTACAGTGTGGAATGAGGGACATTTTAATTCACTTGTTTATCTTCCTTACATGCACTCTTTGAGTAGTTACACACACTAAGATGTTTTTTTCTTCTCATAGTCCACTGACCACCTCCTACATTACACCTTTTGTAAAAAAAATATTTTAATTTTTTATATTTTACATTTTTAAATTCTATTAGTATTGTAATATCTTCTTATACTGTATTATTTAAGTTGTTGCTAGTTCTGCTTTATTTCCTTGTTAATTGTTTAGCACCATACCTTGTATGTGTAAATGTACTTGGCAGTAAACCCAGATTCTGATTCTGATTGTTTTTTTAAAATCCCTCTTTAAACGGAGAGTTCACAGATTGTAAAAATATAAGAAGGGAGTGTTTGCTTACAAAACAAGATACGGTTCAGATTCTTTGCATAGCGGTGTGGTGAATCACATCTGGAGGTTTTCTACCTTGGCTACAGTGCTGGAAATCTGTGGCTTCATCTGCAGCGAGTCAGTGAGGTAGGACAGGAGCTGACACTGACGATCCCCGCCCGTCTTTCCGAGAAAGCGGAGGCCGATCTCCACCGCAAACACGGCGTCACAAACATCCGTGTAGGAGCGCAGCACCGCTTTCATGGAGCTGCAGACCGAACCCTTCAGCGGCTCCTGCAGTACAGACAAGAGGAGTGTGAGAGGGGAGGAATGTGACCTCTAACAAAAAACGGCCTCACAAAATCCTACAAGAGAAACTACTGTGAAAAAAAACTCTGGCTGGCATTAGTCAGTTCCGGATGAAGACGCTCGAGCCATAAAACACTTAAACGAGGTCGTCTCACCTGAGGGATCTTTCCTCTGACCTCGGTGAGAACCACGGAGAAATCTTGCAGATGTCTGTTCAAGTACCTGGATGTGTCCTGATTTTTTTTTAAATAGAGTACATCAGTGCTGGTTAGCAGGCTGTTCATGTTAAAACGTGCATGCAGCTCTATGATCAGTTTTATATCTTTACCGCTTGGATGAGTGGTTTCCCAGAGAAAAAGCGACGAGCCAGCTGCGTCTGGACGCCCTGCAGGTCGTAGCTGCTGTCTGTCTCTCCACCTTTCTTCAGCGTGTAGTGACACTTTGCCAGAACCAGAGGCAGCAGCTCTCTCTCGGGGTGGCACAGGGTCAGCTGGGTCTCTGATATCCGGTCTAATGAGATACTGTATTCACTGGGGAGAGAACGGGTTTATTAGGGGCGTCTATGTTGATGCAGGTACAGCTGGAGCACAGAGTCTACCATTTATCTTTGTTTGTCTAGCCACAAATTCATAACAAATGTTATTTCAAAACAGCCTGATCCAGATCGTACTGTTTGCCATCCAGGAAGTGTTACACATTGGGGTGTCTGTCCTGCATGATGTATATTTTTTATATATTAACCAAATGCTGCTTTATGTGTATCCTGCATGGTTTATGTATTTTCTCCTGTGTCTGCTTCATTACTGTCATGATATTTCTATTTTTGCAGCTTTTAGCGATGTTTGAATTTTTTTTTTTTAAGGGAGCCTTTTATAAAATCTGGCCAGTGACAACAGGTGAAAATTAACCTTTTGGCTAACTCTGGCATATTTACAGGAATGTTTATTAATATGCAATGTCCCTGTAAAATAAATAAAATAAAAAATAAAGGAAACACCACACCCCTCACCTCACCTGCTCATCAGAGAGCGATAACGATGTGCAATAATAACTATAAGGAAAAACAGTACAAAAAGGGGGTCTGCATAGCTCCTGTTTCACGTCCCATAGTCCTCATCACTGTGTCTGTGGGTTCGAATCCGACCTCAGCCCTTTGCTGCATGTCCTCCTCCTAACATCCACTGTCCCTCTTAATCCTCCTCACATTGACACCAGGAGAAGGGTCAGAAAATACTTCAACCACAGACTGTATATAAAGATGGACAGAGTATTAATCTGCATGGTAGTGAGGCCAAAATATGTAGAGCTCCCCCAGCTGACTGGCTGCGGTATAATAGTTCATAAACCCCGCCCCCTCCATGTAAACAGATGGGACACAGGGGGTCAAGCTATTCAGTTTATCTAAGCGTCAGATGATTATTTTGTGATATTTATGATGACACTCCTCGCAGCGTTTTGAATCAGGTGATCAGAGTAGAGGAGGAAAACTATCATCATATTAAATAAAGAATAATGTAACTGTTAAGGCGCACACTGACCTGTCCTCCTGGCGGCTCACTGCGCGGGCCTCTCTCACCAGGCCGTTGTGAGTCATCAACAGGAAGTCCACCAGGTTTTGGAGACACGACCCGGGTCCGTGTCGACTCAGAGTCAGAAACTCCCCGGAGCTGTCGGTCGTCAGCTCCTTCTCACACAAGTTCACATCCACGCCCAAGTCTGCAGCTAAATTTACAAACGCACACAAATAAACACAAACACACACACACACACACACACACACACACACACACACACACACACACACACACACACACACACACACACACACACACACGGGCACAGACAATGGAGAGAGAGAGAGAGTGTCATGCAGTGAAAGAAGCAAACATGTCAATCACTTCTCTGCTTTTAAAAACTGATTAGATCTGTGAAGCTGGAGATTCATTTTGAGTGATTCATGTCCTCCTCTCGTAGATCTGCATGACTTAACTCATCATTTTATCAAAGAAACAATCAACACTGAATCTCTATCAGGTCAACTAATAGTGTGAGTCCCCTGTCATTCCCCACTCTCTCTCTCTCTCTCTCTCTCTCTCTCTCTCTCTCTCTCTCTCTCTCTCTCCCTGGTGTCTGGCTCTGTCCACTGTCCTGTCTCTAAATTGAAGACACAGCTCTATTTTGAACATGTCTGGAGTTGATTCTTACAGTTGTTTGCCACCTCTGCTCTGAGGAGGTTCCACACCCGGATGAATCTCTCCACTCTCTCCTGCAGCCTCTTCTTCTGGCACCCTGATGACAACAGTGAAAAACAAAAGGCTCAGCGTGTCATGTGAGTGTGTTGTGAGCGTGTCATGTCAGTGTGTCGTCAGGTGTGAGGGTCTAGTAGATGTTACCTGCTGGAATCTTCTGCAGCATCTGTGCAATGGTCTGAGGTGAAGAGTGTGATGTCAGAGGAAACACTCTCAGCAGGTCAGACTGCAACGCTGCCAGCTCCGGCAGGTGATGTAACTGCCTCACACAGTGTATCTGTGTGACACACACACACACACACACACACACACACACACACACACACACACACACACACACACACACACACAACACAATGCTGGTGTCACAATGACCCTTTGTAAACGCCTCAGATCCTCCTCTTAGTCCTCATTACTGTCAGGGAAAAGGATTTTAAGACCGGTACCTTTTTGAGGAACGCGTCGAGCAGAGGCAGAGCACTGCCCTCCGACTGTCCCACCAGCTGAGAGAGGCGCTCCACCGTCATGGTCTCCGGGAGAGTCCAGAAAGAGGAACGATGTGTGGGACAGTCGGCGGGGAGGGACAACATGCTCCCTGGATCCCCGAAGAGGAGACACATCAGGGGGCTTCCGGCTAGGCCATCGTCTGCACTGATTCTCTCCAAGGCTTCAGGGAGTCTCTGCTGCAAAACCTGGAAATCAGAAATCACAATCAGAATCAGAAATACTTTATTACTGTAATCCCAGAGGGAAATTCGATTACAGTTTCAAATAAATAAAAAATAAAAAGAGGGATAATGGAAGACAGAAGACGTTAGCCCTCTGCAACACAGACGTCTCCAGGCCGGATTCACTCCTAATAGATTGCGTCTGCTAATAGCTCCAAAAGTTACACATCAAATGACATTCTTCCTTTTAAAATCCCTGCTTTCCCTTACTTGATGCACTGGCTTGATGACTGATTTACAGACAAGCTTCTCCCACTGCTCCCGTCCTTGCCTGGACGACAGATCCGGTCTTGCACCGCGGGAACCTTTTAGAAAACATTCAGCAGAGATCGTGTCACTTTTTTCAAACACTCTGCAGACAGCGTGCTGAAGGCTGTCAGAAAAACTCACCCGAAGGGAAGTCTGTGCACGCGTTGAGAATCAAGTGAACTGTGACCGCTGTGTTGTCTGTGTTCTGATCCAGAGTCTGTCCCAGCACGCGCATGTCCATTTCAAGATGGCGAAACAGGAAGGCGAGAACATCCTGGGGCCTCGGGTGGATCATGTCACCTATTCCCTGTAACAACAAATGTGTTTTTTTTTTGTTTTTGTTTACTCCGATACCTCTTTTTTAAATAACAGTGATTTGTGCTGTTGGTAGAAATGTTGTCTGACTCTGTTGTTCCTGAAGGCTCCTTGAAGCATGGCAAGGTGCGTGAGCAGCCGCAGGATGCACGACTGAACGTAGGTCAGCTGTCTCTCCGGGGCCTCCGAC